AAAAAAAAAGAATAAAAAAATTAAAGGAATCACTTTAGGCATAAAAAGTTGTAGCGCGTGACTTGATCTTTTATGATTATGAGCAGACAAACAAATATTTTAATCAATTTATTTGATATTTTTCTTTTTTTTTTAAATTATTATTATTATTATTATTATTATTCATGTTTTCTTAAAACCCTCTTTTTTAATAAAAAGAGAGAAAAATCGATGTGGGTTTCAACTATGCAAGATTCTTCGATCATCTTTGAAATAATCACTGACGAGTGTTACTAATTAAATGAATTGGAATTATTATAATGTTAACACACGTAACAAGGAATATGAAGGATTTTGCACAGATATTAAATACTATAATTTGTTGATTGAATATTTAATGGAGTTAGCAAATAAGAGATGAAGAATGACGGTACAGTACAATAATAGAAACACGTAATAATGAATGATTATTAGAGTGTGATTCGCTCAAGTTGTTCATATTCGATCTCGTGCTCGTTTTAAGAAACGAGTCAATGCGATTTGATTTGTTTATAAATGTGTCAATAGCTTAATTAGTTCGAATTGTGTTCATTTAACAAAATTAATATTTAAATACGTTCTTGGCAAACATTATATGTTCATTGATAAACAAGTTAGGTCCGATTGTTTCATTTAAAACTCAAATTGAAAAAAAAATAAATAAATAATTTGATGAGTTGTTTATGAAGAAACTCTGTTCGATTCGTTTAAGTAAAAAAATGAGTCAAGTTTGAACTTTTACGAGAGTCATAACCGAATAGCATTCAAGGAACAAACTCTATTCAAACACGTTCAAATAAACAAATAAGTCGAGTAAAATCAAATTGTATTTTCATAAAGTTTTGATTCTAATGACAAATTGTTTCACAAATAAAACAAGAAACAAATGCCATTTCTATAGACTAGAATTATACTTGCTTTGAAACAAATTATTTGTTCTGAATCCTCAGCGCGGTGCGATTTTGTTATTTTTTTTTTTTTGTTTGGTCGATTCTCGGTATGAATATTTTATAAATCTTTCGTTTAAGAGGTAGTCAAATGGTCAAGAAATATTTTTCAATTCAACATGAGCTTGATTTGGTTTTCGATTCAACATCTAAATCCATGATCCACATTGGTATATGTTGACTAGTCAAACAACATTAATTCACTAAAAGCATTACAATATCACTCCAAAAGTAAGAGTAAATAGAGATTCACTCTTCTTTTCATCTTTTTCTTGAAAATCCAAGGAACCATTTGCACATGCAATTATTAAAAATATTTTTCTTGAGATCCAATTGTGAAAATTTGGGTAAAATTACAAAACATGTCTGATAATTTTAAATATATGTTAAATTTGCTCCATTAGAAAATGCTGTGTAATTAACAAAAAAATGGCACAATATGTCTAATATACGGTAAAATACCCACCGACCAATTTTGCGAAGTGCTTTGTAAATAATTAGATGTTTGGTACGCATAAATAATTAGTTTTACAATTCCCTATTCCAAAAACTCCTATGTTTTGAGTTTTTTTGAAATATTTTTTTTTTAATTAAAAGAACTAAAATAAAATTATTTTGAACAGTTAATTACCAATCAATTAAATATTAGAGGTTATGGTAGGTAAAATCACAAATTTTACCTCAAACCTCTAATATTTAGTCCCAAAATTAATGTAATTTATCGAACAATCACGTTTTTATCGCGCATTATTCAATTTTGAAAATTATTAAAGAAACTTGTCACCTACCTAAAATCACTAATAAGTGTATTTTGCAAATTTTCCTATAATTTATTTCCTATAAAAAACTAATTAAAACTCAATTTAAATGTCTGAACTCGTATCATGTGATAAATGAAGAACAATATACAATTTTATTAAAA